TCGTGTCGAAAAGTTTTCATACAAATTTCGTTTCTGACTTTCAACATACACTACTGTGCATCTTGACTAAGGCCCCAGGTCCGTGGATACGATGGGAGGGTGCTGATGGGATCAATACCTAATTAAAAATTCAGCATTTTATTCAACAAAATGTGAATCATATATTATTTTGTTTATTTCAAGATATTTAAAATAATTCAAGGTTGTTGTCAAAGTACCTAAGCAGTATTTTATTCTTTAAAGTTAAATAAATTTGGTATGGTTTTACTTTTAAATCATAAATATGTAATCATAATATGTTTATTGTTTATATTTCATAGCAAATTTATTGTAATTGCATTTTTGACAACTTATGTTCAAAGTCAAAGTCAAATCATTTATTTCAATTAGACCATCTAAAATGGCACTTTTGAACGTCAAAAAAAATACAAAGAAGATTCTAGTTGCCCCTTCCAAAAGGTAGTTTCGTGTGGAGAAGAATGGGCAAGAAACTCCACACTTACTCTTTTAAAATAGGTTTACAACATTTTGTTACATTTGTTAAATAATTATATGTGAAGACAATGTACTCTTAGAATAATCTACTATACTAAAAAAGTCGTCTTCTTTAGATAAACCCAAAGGAGGAAGGAGGCGAGGCATTTGGAGCAGTATCTCCAGCAGCTCCGGCTTTAAACTTTGCTTTAGCTGCCGCTGTTGCTTTCAACAAAGGAAATCCAGGTAGATTTGTGATGGTCCTATGTTACCAATATTTTTATTTGTTAAATTAAAAAACTTTTGTAAAAATTACTCTTTAGACATAACACGTTTTTTTACGATTTATTTTCATAACAATTGTAATTTTCAGCTGTTTCTCCATACTTGGGTAGTGGCCCCAATGAGTTGGATGGAGCAAGACGCCAACAGCTCATGTTGCAGACACAACTGGCAAAGAATCTCTTCAAAATGGGACAATTTGGTAAGCGAGCGTTCAAGTATTACGTCACGCAATTTTTGGAGATTATTGACATTCTCCCCCCCATGTTACGCGCCGTAACGTTTTTCTGTACCCAATAGTAAAACGTTTCGTGACCTGAGTAGTGACTCTTTATATACCTAAAAGTTGCCATTTTATGGTGTAAAGTACTGGAAAGTGGAAAATAATACTAACAATAACGCGTAATTCAATCCCCGCCCCGCATCGTTTTCCAAAGTTTTACAAATTCGTTACTGGGAACCCAAAACCCCAAAAACCTCCCTAAGGATACAGTTTTGTTATTTACTTGTTGTGTGGTAAATGTTTAAAAATCATTAAATTTATCTTTTTTTGGTCTGAATCTCTAGGCCAGATTATCTGTGCTACATATAAACCTGGAAATACTTTTTATATTTCTTTTCATTTTTTTGTTTGAGTTGGTACTTTAATTTGTGCCTCTATACTCATCGTAACGTTTTTGACAAAAACATTTGTGAAAAATTAAACTATTTAACGTAAATTAAAGTTCAATTATTTTTCTTTGTTTAAAATAGTATCAAAATCGATGTTGATCTTTGTCTGGAAGTACAACAAAGAACCACATCGTGGAAAACATAAAGCTCAAACCACACAGATGTTTAATTTAATAGCATGATAACAAAAATAAGAATTGTAATTTCATATGCAGGTGCAATAAATGAATACCTGCAATCAGCGTACGGGGCCACGCCTCCTGACGTACCCATGACCGCCTTACACGCAGCGGACACACAGCAAACAGATGGCGAGTATTATTCCTTATTTATTAAAGCGCGAAAAAGTGAAATAGAATATATATAAATTTATATTAATAAAGGAATCGCATCGCAAATCTATGCTTAATTTCTGCACTAAATTAATTTTTGAAGTTATACTTTTTTAGGCGCGTTATGAAAATTGATGAGAAATTTTACGATGCGCGCGCACCGTGACACAAAATTAACAGAATGTTAATTTTGAGAAGTGTAGTTAGTGGCGCATTTATCCCCATGCTTTAAGTTTCTACATTAAAAACACGTGTTTCCATTATACAAGCGTGAATTTTATATGTGCGTCTGAATTATAATCAGAAGTGATTTAAATTGAATATTTATTTATTTAATTTTTCAAATGTAAACTGAACTTTATTGACTATAATGACTCCTTTTCCAGTCTTTGATTATTTAATTGTAATTAATTATTTGCATGCAATCAAAAACTATTTTTAATAATGCCAAAGAAGTATAACTTCTTACGCGCGTACATAAGTACACGCACCCTTTTTTTTATTCGTATATGCATTAAAGGTTCCAATAGCGACAGCAATACTCATCCCTACATTTTTGTTTGCAAGTTAGATGCAGTTCTCTCAAAATCCGTAGCCCTGATGTAGCATCATATAATTGAGATCGGGATCGCTATTATAAGTTATACAGTAACTGATGTTAGGTGTCCGCTGCCGTCCATAGACACTGCTAGAAAGATCGTGAGTGCGTTGTCGGTTTAAATAAAGAGATCCTAGTTACAGGATTTGCTCAATCATCATGGTTTTAGTATATGATAGTATAGTAAATATTTAAAGTTTTAAATTAAAGCATTTTATTAATTCTATTTTATAGGGGAAGAACTAGGGATCTTCAGTAACCCGGACTCACTTGAATTGCCCTTATCCCTTCCGGGGTCGGGTGCGCCTGCGCTGCGATTACACGCGGCGTGTGAAGCGGCTGCTAGACTATTGGGCGCTTTGGCTAGATGGGTGCTATCTATGAGCACAGTTACTGCGCTGCCGTAAGTATAAAAAAGCTGTAAACCAGTCCTGTAGTCTAATCGGGCTTGGAGCAGACGCATTTTGGCGTTTTCTTTGTAGTGGAAATATATATGACAATTATTATTATTAAAATATTTGTGTCTATAGTTTATGGTTAGGTTAGTAAATATTGGAGAGCAGTGTTGGCCTAGTGGCTTCAGCGTGCGACTCGAACCTACGACCTCAGGTCATACCTGGACTTCGATACAGCTGTGCATCAATGGACTTTCGTTCTATGTGCGCATTTAACATTTGCTCGAACGGTGAAGGAAAACATTGTGAGGAAACCGACATGTCTTAGACCCAAAGGGTCGACGGCGTGTGTCAGGCACTGGAGGCTGATCACACATTTGAAATTTTAGAGAAACTATTTTCCAGTTTTGAGATCCAAGTTACGCTTCTCCGGAAGTCCTGGGCTGAGTTATTCGTTTTGGGCCTTTGTCGTTGGGCCCAGCCTTTGGGGCTGGATTCTCTTCTGCCTCTAATGTCAGCACACTTACACTCTGAGTTACGGGAAAGATCAGAGAGTAGAAGTGGAAATCAGAGCAGTGAAGTCACTACACCGGAGGTAAAATATATAATACTTTGTTTTTTAATGTCAATTATATATTTAAATAGAAGTATGTATTTGGCTATAAAGCAAACATGGTCATGGATCAATTAAAAAATAACTTGTTGGTCATGTATGACTGCACATAAGATTCTGGGTTCAAATAGCTGGGGGAAAATGAATAATCATTGCGAAATTTCTTGTGGGAATTATTTATTGAAACATTACAAAATAAAAAAGAAAAATAAGTAAAATAAATTATAAGTTATGCAACGGGCGGCCTTATCGCTAACAAGCGATCAGTTCCAGGCAACCCTAGTAAGGGAAAAACAAGAAATAATAAGGGTAAAGGTTTACAAAATTGGGAAAAAATGGTGTAAAAAATTATGTATATTAAAATTTAATGTAATATTAAAACGCACACACACAACTGAACTTTTCATTGTGTATTTTACCTAATAAATGACGAATGCAGAACGTACGAAAGTTAACATCTAAAACTAATAATTAAAACAATAAACAAATCCTTACAGATAACAATATCGGACTATTCAGACGAGCGCATAACAGAAGTTTCAACGATGCTGTCGCGTCTTCACCAAGTGGTCCATAATATGCACCAGCTACGCATCAGCGACCGTGAACACGCACATTTGAGGGCTTTATGTCTCTTTTCGTCTGGTAAGAACATACAAGTGATGTTCCATTTCTGTGTACTGATATTATTTTAACCACCAAACAATCCTCGGTAAACTACGGTATTGGTTTAATAAATTTCCTCATATGTATATTATTTTATTGAATATATAAAAAATTAAGCTTTGTTTTAGGCACTGGGTGTGTATAAGGTCGGGTCCTATTTTCATTCAAAATAAAATTCAGTAACGCTACTAGTTGTAGATTTTTAAATTCGCAAACGATGAAAAATTTACCCCAATAAAAACCCAAGTTCAGTTGGTATCACGTATTATGTGAATAACTTATAACCAGATTCTATAATAACGTACTTCTAACCGCCACCATGCTTTAAAGATCGATTCCCAATCAAAATGCGTAAAAAGACTCAGGCTTATTATGTAAAAAAAATGACGGTACTCCAAAATAATTAGTAGTGGTAGTTTAACGCATGTCAAATACATTTATTTATTATATAGTTTTTGTTTTTTAAATTTAGAATCCGTGCGTTGGACAATTCCTTGATTTTACTTTATTCGCAGATGGCGTACCAGATTTTCTGACCCGAAAACTTCAGGACTATCAGATGAAAGTACTGCGGTCTCTGCGCTCCATTTGTGACGAAGAGAGGTCGTTGACCCTTGTCCTACAACTGTCAGTACTACGCAGTTTCACCCCGACCTTTATAGAAGATGTCTTCTTTGTAGGCTTCGTAGGAGACGTCAGCATCGATGAGGTGATACCTTATTTGTTGAATGCGGAGCGATAAGTAAGAGCATTTGGGAGCGTTCAAGTATTACGTTACGCAATTTTTGGAGATTATTGACCCCCCCCCCATGTAACGCGCCGTAACGTTTTTCTGTACCCAAGTATAGTAAAACGTTTCGTGATCACCTACCTAGTGACTCTTTATACGTAAAAGTTACTATTATATGGTATAAGTCGAAAATAATATTAACAATAACGCGTAATTCAATCCCCGCTCCGCATCGTAACGTTTTACAAAAGGACAAAAAAATTCGTTACGTAATACTTGAACGCTCCCTTATGGTCCCTTATGGCAAATCAGGGTGCTTAAAAAATACTATGTGATAGAGTCGGCGCGTAATATACAAACGTATACAAACTGCATTCACGCTAGTGTCACCCTACCCAAAGTATTTTTGTCTAATTACGAAAATAAAAATTTTCATTTTTGAAATATTTTGATTAGGAATGCTATTAGAGCATAATATAAAGCTATATGGACTTATTTAGATGCCAGTGAAAAATTACGAATATGTTATATTAGTTTTATTTAAGTCAATATTCAATAGTACTATTTTTAAACCTAAAAATTGGTTGAAATTTCTCTTTAATTAAAAAATAAATATAAGCAAGACCACTTCCATAGACATAAGTTCTAATTCCCGTGCCTGCTCATATACGTGCGCGTTGTTCTTGACTTGTTGTGGAGTTATTCTAAAAGTGATATCCCTATTTCCTATATACAATATTAAAACATATTTTCTAGACCATAAACAATTATATATTACAAGAGAATTTTGAAAAAAAACCAGTTGTGCCTTAAAATATACTTTTTCCCGTGTTAAAGATAGAAATGTATTTTGTTAAAGAATGCAAATCTGAGCAAAAAGAAATTGATATAATAATAATACAACAAAATGTGGTTTTACAAATTTGGTATTTTCTAGGTCTAGTTATTCAAACTGTCTTCCTATTTAATAATTTAGATATGATAATAACAATCCGTCCGATAAGTTAGAAATAAGTTATTTATAAGTGCCTTAATAAAAATTATTATAATCTACCTTATTATTTTATTTAATTAACTATATCCTATAATGATAATTTGTCGCATTAGAACGGAGGTCGCTGAGGTAATGAGGATTAGGATATTAAATATGAGTGCGTAGTGCCACGACTCTAGTAATGATATTCTCACGTAGCTCGAGTTCCGCATTGGGAAAACAATAATTTAAAAACATATATATTTATATATTACGAATACGAAACTTATTTCATAAACTAGTTGTACCAACAACGAAATAAATCATAGAACACAACATTAACTGTAAAAATACTATTTTAGATTGAGCAGTAAACTGGAACAATTACCGCTAATTACGGCTAGTGAGCTGATATTTTTAAAAACATTTAATGAGTTCTTTTCCACAGTTTTCCACATAAAATTAGCTGACCGAATCCCAAAAGTACAATGGCACTTCTTGGATTCGTTCAAATTACTTTGTGACAATCTCAATCATATTACCTTGTACCTATTATAAATAATCTAGATTCCAACTACAGTACAGGCATACATAAAATGTGTAAGAAATCCATAAAATGCATGAAAAGCTTTAGTCTGGCTAATGAAAGAAGATAACGAAAAAGCGCGGAAAATTAAAAAAAAATAGTATGGTATCCCTAAAAGTTTGATATATTTTGTGGATTAAACTTACTTACTTGATTTTATTTTATACATTGATAATAACTGTTCTATGAAATTAAATACTAAACGTATTTAGTCTTTTACTATTGATACTTTAAATGACTAGCATTGCATGGAAAACTAAAACTATATTTATTATAATACACAACTTTGTTCGGAATAATCAGTATTCAAAAAATAAAACAAAGTTTGGCTATTATACCTGTTAACTATTCGGAAAAAATATATAATAGAAATAAAAATGAGTAATTGCGTGAAGTATCAAGACAATAAATCATACTAACCTAAGAAATTCAATGACATTCTGTGTTGCCATCCGAAAGTTTTCAAATAATTCAATTATCTTCTTTCATTAGCCAGACAATATATGTGATATGTATTGCCTAAAACAGACGGACCTCTGGAACCGGCCTTGTGATTTATGACCATCAGCTATAATCATAGATTTACTCATATATATTTTACAGTAAAACCGTGGTCGTGTAGTATAAAATATTATATATAATATTAATAATAATCATGTTAGCATTTGACAATAAGATAAACAAGATGAAGATTTCTGAATCTGAATACATATTTAAATACGACCTGCTTTGAGCTTTCTTAATTCTTATTAATAAATCATTTTAAAAGTTAAGACTTAAAACGGCCAATTTGTTATTTTTATAAGCTTTCCAAATAAGTAATCAGGTATTTTGAATCGGATGTGATAAAAATAAATATTATTCTTAAAGATAAGATAGAGTGAGATAGTAAAACATAGTAAATGACTTTTTTAATAGAACGTTAGTTTTCAACAAAATGCCCACTAAAGTAGCCGTTGTTACCGGATCAAATAAAGGAATCGGCTTTGCCATCGTACGTGGTCTCTGTAAGCGATTTGATGGTGACGTTTACCTTACCTCTAGAGATATAAATCGCGGACAGAATGCAGTCGCTGAACTTAACAATGAAGGCCTGCGACCGAAATACCATCAACTGGACATCACAGACCCTAAGAGCGTTGAAAAATTCCGTGATTATTTAAAAGAAAACTATGGGGGTTTAGATATTCTAGTGAACAATGCTGCTATTGCTTTTAAAGTTAATGCTCCGGAACCTGTCATAGTTCAGGCAGAACAAACTTTGTTTGTTAATTTCTACTCTGTTCTATCGACTTGCCAAATACTCTTTCCGATTTTACGCAATGGTGCAAGAGTAATTAACATAACAAGTTCTTGTGGGCATTTGACTAAAATCAAGAGTGAGAAGTTGAGGAATCGGTTCAAGGACCCTAATCTAACTATAGAAGGCTTGTCTAGCATGATGCAAGAATATATTGATGCAGCAAAACAAGGTACTCATGCAGCAGACTGGGGAAATTCAAGCTATGCTGTTGCTAAGGTTGCTATAACAGCATTGTCCAAGATACAACAAAGAATGTATGCTGATAAAGGTAATTTTTTCTCTATATAAGTTTAATGACATTAATAGAGTTTTTTATTCTATAAACATATAAACACATGTCATTAACAGTATTTTATAAAAAAACATTTAGTTCAACGGCTAGGTAGTTAATTGAACGGCTGATTAAGCTAGTTGGCTGCTACATATCTTTATTAATATTATTATTTATGGATCCACCACGGGATACAGCCTTCTAAGCATTCCACAATTTTTTTTTTGATATCACCAGTCTGTGTCCGTCTGTGGTTGTTATACCTTTACTTTAATTTTTGTTTTCAGATATTATAGTAAATGCAGTGAACCCTGGTTATGCGGCCACTGATATGACTTTACATAAGGGACCGCTAACTATTGATGAAGCAGCACGTGCTCCGGTTTACTTAGCATTAGATGCTCCAGACTCTGTTAAAGGGCAGTATGTTTGGAAGGACAAGAGTGCAATCAGCTGGGAAGAGGAATTGGCTGATCCAGACTATATAATATAAAGACTATATTAAAGCTCATATTATATGTAATCCTATATTACTTATGTAAGTTTTTCTCCCTGTATATTAATCTGCCACGCTGGAGTAAATCCCGAAATCCCTTCTTGGGCCGAGCTACTACGAGTATTAGCCTTAATTATGTAATGTTTTGACACAATCGATATTTAGTTCGAACATGACTTATTGTAAAGTCATCGGAGACTTGTAATATATGTATTTGTAAATGAGGGGTTAATATTAAGAAACTTGCGATTAATTATTTTTATACCTATGTGGTCAAGTATTGTGATGAGATATAGAATAAACTAATTATTTAATATCAGAAATATACAAGAGTTCTTTCCTAATGAAAAAAAAACCACAAATATATGTTTTATATTTTGCTTAATTAAATAACAAATAATTAACCTCTTAACACCTAGTGCTACACTCAAATTAAGTTTGAGCAAAACCTACAAAACTCTGCTACGCGGAGTTTTGGACTGGGTTAGACTAAATCTAGTCCAATTTAACCCCAAGAAGACAATTTAAAAAACACCCTTTCCTACGATGACACTCCTTAAAGCCTTAGCTCTCAGGATACTCGGCGTTGACTTAATGACGTTCAGTTTCGCGATCATTTGGAAGGTAAGGCTAGGGTAAGTTTCTCAGAGGCTAACTTAGCCTCTGAGAAACTTGGCGTGCTCAGCAAGGCGAGACGGTAGAAGTACCGGGCTAAAGACCCCGGGCCACCGCTTGCAACTCTATAACGGCTCATGCCCACGACCCGGTTTATATCCGGTCGACAGTCTTGTATGGGACACTATGACGCCATGCACACGACGCCGGCGCTAGCGCCGGCTTTCTGCGCACCCGGGCACGGTGCTCGTCGCGTCTACGCCCGGTGCGCAGTGGAGTATGGCAGTGTATGAGCGCATGTACACAAGACCGGGCCTACACCCGGCTACGCAGTACGCACAACGCAATATTATATTGTTACGAAGACGAGTCGACTGCAATGTTTCTTGATTTTTCCACTACTTAGAGAACTTTTCAGCAGGCTGAAATGTGATTTCTGACCGTTTCAGGAGAGGGTCAATGACATATTAGAAAATCGTAATTTGCATAATGTTACCCTAGTTTTCAGGAGGATGAAACATTTTTTCATGCCGTTTCAGAACAACTGTAGTCGAGTGGAACACTTTTCAGGAAACCCGTTTTCAGGCCTGGTTATACCCCTTTGATGAAGGAATGTTCTAGAACGAATTTTCTAGATGTAGGACAAGGACGGAATGATACGCGAGAGAGAGGGAAGATCGGAACCTTCTCGAAGCTAGACCGAGCAGTCTAGAACGCCGTACGACAAGGACGGAGCAATGTGCGAAAGAGATAGCTAATACGCACGTTCTAAAATTTTGCGATCGCTACTCAGTTGCGCTGCCGCCTAGAGAGTTCTCAAACATCGTTCCCAGGGATATATGTATAAGCGTGCCGAAACGCGACCGATGAGTTCAGTTTTGAATGCGATATCAATAGATACACACCGGAGTGAAAAAGTGCGAATATAGTGAAGACAAGTGAATACAAGTACTGTGTGAAGTGCGTGTAATTAGAGTAAATTAGTGACAGTAGTTTGTGTGTATTTAGTGAATTATTGTCCGTAATTTCCAGTCCATATTTGTATCTTCATGTTTTAGTTTGGGTTCCAAAATATGTAACATTTTTATAATGTTTCTTTTTTCATTCGAAAGTACTTCTCAAATTTCTCGTCATAGTTGCTTCAGTATGAGCGTATGAAATGCACCATGATCTTCTCTTTCTGTTAACATGGGAGACCAGGTACCCAATGTCGTCTATGTATTTTTTCTCGTCTTTTTTAAGCTTTTTATACATGTAACACGCAATAATACATTTCCTCTTTTTAACCCTCAACATTTTATACGTCCACAATTCATTGAATGAAAAGAGCGTATGAAGGCGGCACCTCGATGAAACCGGGTCGTGTACAAACCGTCTTGTGTGCAAGCTCGGATGGTTTCTACCCGGAGCCGGCCAAAAACTGGGCCGTGTTGAAACCGTCTCGTGGGCATGAGCCCTTAAGCGCAAATTCGGACCCACGTGGAGTACTGTTCTCACCTCTGAGCGGGGGGTTCCCAGTACCAGCTCCTTCCATTTGACCGTATTCAACGAAGAGCGATTTAAATCATCGACGGCCAGTCACTTTCCGTGCGGCTTGATCCCTTGGCATTGCGTAGAGATGTGGAGTATCTCTCTCTCTCTCTTTCATTATTTGACGTCAAGGCAAAATACAAAATACTATCCGTATCACCCCGACGTCCGTCGTTCCACAACTGAGCGTTTTCTAAGGCAGTTTTTGCCGCGCACCACCACTATGTGGAACCAGCTGCCTACTAAAGTATTTCCGAACCAATTCGACTTAGGGGACCCTCAAGAAAATAACGAACCCTTCTGGCAGTGCAAGTGTCTTCGGCCGGTGGTATCACTTAACATCAGATGAGCCTCCTGCTCTTTTGCCACCTGTAACATAATATAAAAAAAGTGCGTACGTTCCGAGAGTTAGAGGAAGGAAAAAGGAAGATATATGTTAGATATAGTTATTAAAGGAATTTCTTAAACTCTCATATGACTTTTTTCCCTGGGAGCTTATTCAAGATGCCTTAACAGTAGTGTATATGTCACCGTAAAATTGTAAACATCGTTAGATTGTCTCGCGAGATTGTAAACTGTCGAAAGATTATCAACTCAACGTGCTGCTTACAATTTAACGTATTATTATTCGGTAGATTGTAATCTATCGAAGTAAAACCGTCAAATTGTGAAACGGATCGCACCTCGCGCGCTGATTGGTTGCGCGGAATATGCCCCGCGCCACCATATTTGTTTGTTAATTCGTTTGTTGTCGAATGTAAATTGATTGTTTTGATGAATGTAAATTGATGTCGTATCGTGAAGGTACCTCACAGCTTTAGAATTAGTTATATGAAATTGTTGGGAAGTAAAATTAATCTGTGATTGACCAAAGAAGTTTGAATGATAACTAAGTTAGTGTTTGAAATGAAATGAAACAAAATTTCATTCCTTTTTTAATTTTAATTTATTTTTGAGGAGAAAATATTGTCACGTTTCAGATTTTTTATTTTGATACAATTTTTTTTACCATGTGATGTCAGAATTATTGATTACCTATTAAGTAATTAATAAATACTTGATGTCACAATTCTTGAAGTGCATTCAGTTTATTTGACTGATACCCGTGTTTCATTCCTAACTCTTCGGACATAGAACGGTCTACTATAAAGCACACCAATCAGGGACAGCCTTCGGACAGTTAACAATTTGACAATTTTAAGATTGTAATTTGACGGTTTCACTTCGATAGATTACAATCTACCGAATAATATTACGTTAAATTGTAAGCAGTACGTTGAGTTGACAATTTTTCGACAGTTTACAATATCGCGAGATAGATTACGATCTAACGGTGTTTACAATTTTACGGTGACATATACATATACGAAAGTCGAAAACTAGAATTGTAAGAAAATCAAACTGTCATTTTCATACAAATTCAGTTTTCGACTAGGTGTTCATCTCAGTATGTGAGTTTTTTCCCTGTGACTGTTTTACTGTAATGAACATGGTTGAGATAAAATGTATTTTGAAGTGAAAACTTCTTTAGCGGCGTTGTACACTTTTTTTGAATGGGTAAAAAATGTTAAACTCACGTCAGGACAAATTCGTAAGACGGATGTTTTTTTAAAGGACTATGAACCTTCGTGCTATATAGTTACGGTTTTTATTCATTCGTCTCTTTCCTCAGATACATTGATGCATGTGGAATTGGACCTTAAGTCAAGGTTTAATTTTGCGAAACGTCTAAAGCTTTATTATTAACGATTTGGTCAGACTGACGACGGATGGAGTGTAGACAGTTGGCGTGGCGTATTTAATGTAATATAAATTGTCATGTTTGTGTACGATAGCGCAATAAATAAATAGATATTGTATTCTACCACATAAATGATAGTACTTTTATACTGATAATAAAAGCAATTCGTGCAAGATTATTCCCTAACCATTCCAAAATATCAAAATTGCTCAACGTTAATAATCAAGTTTTCACTTCTGCCGGCACTCCCGCAATGCAACCCGTCGTTTTTTCATCAAATCATTTATTTACAGAAAAATCCAATTTACACATAAATGACGATACGTAGAACAAATATTCACTAATCATTTTGATAACTGTGTAACCTTCGATAGATTATTTTTTTATAATCCTCTCATTGCTATCCACTGATATTGATTGATGCCACTAGGGTGCTATATTAGCAGTAGGTATCCGAGAGGCCAACTGAGTTCCGAAGGACAAACAATAACCTCCTAAATGCAGCATCTGTAATTTTCCGAATATGCTCCGCAAACGAGACATCTGGAAAACAAAGCACCTAGGTCGCGGACTTTGCGTACGGGCCTAACAATATAATAATAATAATATCCCATGCTATATACTCTGCGAGTATTTTATTCGGAAATTCGCTACAAGTCATCACTTCGCATTTTTCATACTTAAAGTGAAGTTTATTTAATTTACTCCAATGCAGCAGTGTATCCAAATCTAGTAGACGCTCGGAAGGTCGTTGAACCTTATCAAGAATAGCATCGGTTCTAGATTTGAACCCGGGCTAATACCAGAACTTGTTGGATATGGCTGCGAGATTTATTATAATGTCCATAAATGTTACGATATGATAGGTAACTAGAAAACAATTTAGCAGAACAGGTTCACATTCAATTGCTTCTAACTTTTGCAGAAGAATGTCATGAATCTACTCGATTAAACGCTTTGCGAAAATCCGGAGTATTTCTTATCAATTTCTTATGTATAGCTTATCAATTTCTCGTGACGCCATGTCAGCCAATGACAAGAGATTGGTATTAGCTGATTTATGCGAAAGAATGGCGTGCTGGGAGGCATTAATGTAAAGAAGAAGTATAAT